CTGAAGCAGGGCTTGAACTCACAGACCATGTGATCATGACCTGAGTGGAAGTTGGACGCTTAACCGACTGAGCCACCCAGGCACCCCAGCCTTTAGCTTCCTGAACCTTTTCTGCCTGAGTGAGTTTTGCCTGTTCACCAGCCCTGTTGGGCAGCTGTCCCCCTTTTACTGTTTGGGAGGAGTCCTGGGATAGGACAGTGTGGCTGAGTGTGTCAGGGGACAGGCCTGTCAGGGGGAGAATTCCTTCCTTCCCTCTTCCGTGCAGTTTTCACACATCTGCCGAACCCTTCCCATGGTCAGGTGTCTGCACTGGGAGGTGCTGAGGATACAGCAGTGACTATGCCAGGGCTGGTCCTGACCCTTCAGGGCTCACTCACAACACACAAAGCATGAAGGTGCTGCTTTAAGTTCACAGATCTTTCTTGGGGCACCTGGGTAGGCTCAGTGGGTTAAGTGGCTGACTTCTGCTCAGGCCATGATCTCACATTTCGTGAGATTGAGCCCCACATCAGGCTCTGTGCTGACAGCTCAGAGCCTGGAACCTGCTTCCGATTCTGTGTCTCCTCTCTCTGATCCTCCTCCCCGTTTGTCTCTCTTAAAAAGTAAACATTAAGTTCACAGATATTTCTTTAGACAGCTGGAATTTGAATCCTGTCCCTGTTGCTTCCTACCTCTCTGACCTTGTTCAGGCTCCTTCCCCTTTCTGGGTGCCTTGCTTGCTCCTCAGCATTGCTAGGATTAAGTAGCTTTGGACATGTCCAGCTTTCATCTGGGACTTGGCCTGCAGCTTGTGTTCAGTAAATATAGTTATTGTCAGAGGCATAATTGTCAGTTTTGGAACAAGGGCAAACCCAATGAAGGGTACGCTCAAAATTCATGAAACATGGGGCTACGGCTAACTCTGTGCTAGCCGGTAATGTTCTTAATATAGTCCGTGTCAGGCTGAGTACATTGCTTGTACCTGCTGAAGCAGTGGGTGTATGTCAGTGGGCCCAAGTGGACAGTTGGATTTGCAAATCATTTCAAGTGTACTCAGACCTCAGTCATGTGTCCTGGGCAAAATTCTGGTGATCACTTGAGTTATGACTGATTATTATTTTTAATGACCAGAATAGTACATGTGTATTGTAGAAGTCCAAATCTCTGTCCCTAAGTCCCATTTTTCAGAAGGAATTCTTGTTGGTTTATGTCTTTCCAGATCATCGTCTGCACGTTGAAAACTTTGCCCTGTTTTTAAAACAAAATGGTGTTATGCCGTACATGTGTTATTCTGCAGTGAGCTTTTTGCCAAGACCTTAATTATCTTTCCATACCCAGTAAATACAAGATTGTTTCCATTTTTTGGTATCACAGGCAATGCTGAAACAAATGAGTAGTTTTTTTTTAACTGAGATATAACTCACATAACATAAAATTCAAGGTCATGGTGTATGATCCTTCTGATATGTTGTTGGATCCAGTTCTATTTAATTGGAGATACTGTACTTACATCTGTGTTCATAAGCAATATTGAACTGTAGTTGCTTAAAGATGTCTGTTTTTAGTGTCAGGTTAATACTGGATCTACAGAATGAGATGGAAAATGTTACCTCCTCTTCTAAAAAGAGTTTGTGAAGGATCAGTGTTATTAAAATGTTGGATAGTGAGGTGCCTGGGTGGTTCAGTCGGTTAAGCATCAACTCAGGTCTTGATTTCAGGGTTGTGAGTTCAAGGCCCATGTTGGGCTCCGTGCTGGGTGTAAGATGTTGGGTAGAATTCACCAGTGAGACTGTCTAGTCCTGACACTGTGTGTGTGGGGGGGCGGGTATTTTTCCATTATTAATTCAATATCTTCTTGTAGGTCTATTCAGATGTTGTATTTCTTTTTGAGTCAGTTTTGGTAGTTTCTGTTTTTCTACGGGAAACGTTCATTTCTTTGAGGTGATCTTATCTGTCGGTGTGCACTTATTTGTAGTATTGTTTTGTAACCCTGTAAGATTGGTAGCAATGTCCTTTCTTTTTGAGTCTTTAGCAACTTGAGTCTTTTGTCTTTTTCTGGGTCAGTCTGGCTGTAGGTTTGTCAAATTTGTTAATCTTTTCAAAGAACGAGCTTTTGTTTTGATGGACTTCTCTATTCTCCCTCTTTTACTTGTTTCCATTCTGATCTTTATTATTTCTTTCCTTCTGCTTGTTTTGTGTGTAGTTTTCTTTCCTTTTCTAGTTTCTTCTGTCGGGTTTTGCCTCGTGTACCTTGAGGTCCTTTTGTTACATTCATATATGTCTGTAATTCTGACATCTTGAGTGATTGACCCTTTTAGCATTCTAGGATGCCCTTGTTTGTCTCCAGTGACAGGTTTTGTCTTAAAGCGCGTTCTGTTTGCTTTTAGTGTAATTGTTCCATTTCTCTTCACTCTTGTTGCTTTTTACACATAGTGCGTGTTGGCTATCTGTCTGTGTCACTACATAGAGATTCATTCCTTTTTAAGCGGTACACTATATTTCACAGAACATTTGTGACACAACAAATCCCTTTTGGGGGCATTTAAAAATTTGCAGTCTTATTTTTTTGCTGTAATCAATAACCCTGCAGTGGACATCCTTATCCCTGGGGTCGTTGCACATACTGTGGGATGAATTCCTAGAAGAGAGAGCACTGTAGTGGCGGCCATTACCATTAGTAGCAGTCGCGTCTCACTGTTTCCCTCTGCTGGCGTGGCCCCACAGCCCCTGCAGATTAAGTCAGTGGTGGCACCAGAGCACGTGAAGGGCTACATCTACGTGGAGGCCTATAAGCAGACGCACGTGAAGCAGGCCATCGAGGGCGTGGGCAACCTGCGGCTTGGCTACTGGAACCAGCAGATGGTGCCCATCAAGGAAATGACAGATGTGCTCAAAGTCGTAAAGGAGGTGGCCAACCTGAAGCCGAAGTCCTGGGTCCGCCTCAAGAGGGGCATCTATAAGGACGACATCGCCCAGGTGCCGGGGGTGGGGATATGGCAGGGTGGCTGAGGGGCCAGGGCCTGTGTTCACGCCCCTGCTCCCCTGTTCTGTCCTTCTCCCTTTTCCTTTTGTCATTCCCAGCCCTTTCCTAGTGCAGAGGGCAGATTAGGTGATGCAGAGCCTAGATTTTGTTGGGAGCACACATCCAGGGGAATGGATGACCATCTCCTGTGAGAGTTCAAAACACATTGAGTAAAGATCTGAAGGCGGTGAGCGAGGGGGCTTTGTGGAAATCTTGGGGAAGAGTGTTGCAGTGGAAGGAACAGCATGTGAACAGGGCTGCCCTGGCTGAAGCAGAGTGTGTGAGGGTGAGAGTGGCCAGGAGTGGGCTCAGGGAAGGGACTGCACCTGTGGCCTGTCGTAAGGCTTTGGCTTCTTCCAGAGTGAAGTGGAGGGACACGGTGTGATGTGGATTTTAATAGGATTACTGTGGGAGCTTCATCGAGGATAGACTCCTCGTTCTCAAGCAGGGACAGTGTGGTCCCTTTTCTTGGTTCTGTCAACTGAGGGGGGAGTTGCTCTAGCATCTAGTGGATAGAGGCCGGGGATGCTGCTAGCACCCTACAGTGTAGGGGACAGCCCCCCACAACAAAGAAGGACCTGGCTGCCAAACCCCAGACTGGACCAGATGGGGCTACAGAGACCAGCGAAGAGACTGTGCCACCATAGTCCTGGGTTGCCCAGGGTTGTAGGAGAGAGGAGGGGGACGAGGTCAGAGGGGGGACGAGGGGTTTAGAAGGCAGAGCCCATGGGAGTTGCTAACACACCGGAGATGGGCAGAAGAGTAGGGAGGGAGTCCAGAACAATTGCCAGTTCGTGTGCCAGACCAGAAGGAATGATGGAGTGGGAGAAGGCTGGCAGGGAGCAGGTGTGGGGGGGTGACTAAGGTTAGTTGTGGTTGCACTAGGTTTGAGGGGCCTTTTAGACATCCGAGGAGAGATGGACAGTCTGCTTTGGGGTTGAGGGGAAACAGGACAGAGAGAACGTGGGGGATTGTCATCAGTGTGATTTCTTTCCCATCACCCCCTGTCCCTGCCATCTCCATGCCCTTCCTGTGTCTGGGGTTAGAGAGGGAGGGCCAGGGCCCTCCTGACCACCCCCATCTCCTCAGGTGGATTATGTGGAGCCCAGCCAAAACACCATCTCCTTGAAGATGATCCCACGCATCGACTATGACCGCATCAAGGCCCGTATGAGCTTGGTACGAGGGGGCATGCCGCTGCTCAGGGGTGGGCGGATGCCTGATCCTTCCGGGTGGCTGGGCCCTCCTCCTTCACCCTTCCCACCCGTGCCACCTTTCCTCCACAGAAAGACTGGTTTGCCAAAAGGAAGAAGTTTAAGCGACCTCCACAGAGGCTGTTTGATGCTGAGAAGATCAGGTGCATGTCCTTGGGGACCGGCTGGGCTGGGTCCCCACAGCTGTGTTGTAGAGTGCCTTCTGCAGGTTCCCCCCATAGGAGTGGGTCCCCCGACCCATCCATGGTCTACTTTATGAGTGGTTAGCCTGCCAGCAGTGCCTCAGCCAAGTTACTTAACATCCCTGGACCTCTGTTTCTTGTGCTGTAAAGAACAACACCTGCCTGCTGAGACTGTAGGGAGAATCAAATGACTTAATAAGCATGTGGACCCAGAATAGCCCTTGATTCCTAGTAAGTGTGATTAGTGGTATCACACGCTGAAATGGGAGTTCTCGACATGTCAGGCCTTACAAGGTCTCTTTCACTGATCTTCTGGTGCCTGGGCACCTGAGGTGGGAGTACAGAGCCCTTCCCATTAGGATGTGTCCCTCGCCCTCCCCAGCTGGAGGGAGCTCTGGAGCTCTGCCCAGTGACCCCAGGATTTCAGGGCTAGCCAGAGGGCTCCTGATGGGAAAGGCAGGAGAGGAGGGGGAGAAACAAGAGGTGCAGTGACCCTTTGCCACTGGTCCTGTTCTGGAACCCACTGTGAGCCGCTAGCCCGTTTTCAGTTCTGTTAAAGGGGGATTACAGAACTCCTTTTGAGCTGCATCCCAGGACTTGGCTAATACTTCACATGCCTAGATTGGACCCACTTATCCCACTGCTGTCCACTTGACTGGACCGCCTTTTACTGAGTGCCCTGACCCGGCCTGTAGAGCTTGTTTGGGCCTCCACCAAACTCAGCACTTGAATGAGAAGAGGATTGAGTGAGTGGCAGGGGGAGCTCAGCCTGCTCCCCTATGCTCCCTTTTTGGGAGTGGGGTGGGCTTTCCCTCCTCTCTCTAGAAGCGTGGGCAGGGACAGAGTGTCCTCCTGCCCCACAGGCAGGGCCAGTAGAGTTAAGGCACGGGTTTGGGAGTCCCACCACCCCCCACATTTGAGTCCTGACTCAGACCACTCTCCCTGGGAGATGTGCCCTATGCGAGCCTCACTCCCTCACTTCGCTAGGAAACATAGGTCGCATTAGTGATGTCCTAGGCTTTGGGGAGGAGTTGTGGAGGTGTGTGGCCAGGCCAGGTGCAGACCGGGGCTCCGTGCATGTGAAGGTTTGGCGTGGTTCAATACTTTGTCCAGCTAGTGTTCACCGAGCGCCTCCGTGGTGCGAGATGCTCGCTGCTCTAGGGGACATAGCAGTGAGTGAAAAACTGCTCTTTGGGAGTTGCCATTGGTCAGGGAGACGGATCAAACGGTGGCTCATTTTCAGAGGGTGATGTGGGCTGTGGCGAACAATAAAGCAGGGGAGAGAGCAGCAGAATGCAGGGAGGAGCCTTTCAGCTTGGGATGGGTTGCTCGGCCAGCAGGGCGCGGCGAAACGGGACGGGTCAGTCGTCCTGTGATCCTCTTCCTCCCTCGCCAGCAGAGGAGCCTGAGATTCACTGAGACTCTCTTCTTCATCCCCCTTCTAATCTTCTCTTTCCCCCAAAATCCCAGGTCCCTGGGCGGCGATGTTGCCTCTGATGGTGACTTCCTCATCTTCGAAGGGAACCGTTACAGCCGGAAGGGCTTTCTGTTCAAGAGCTTTGCCATGTCTGCTGTGGTGAGGGTCCTGGAGGGCCTGTTGCTTATGACGGTGGGGAGCAGGGAGGCCAAGCTTTCTCTCCCTCCTTCGGTCCAGGCCCCAGAGTGGTGGGTTATCTGGATCTGTGCTGGATTGCCTTCCAAGTCAGGAGTATCCCCAGGGCAGTCACTCTACCTCTTCAACCCGTTCATCTGGGCTGTGACACTGACCTTTCTCCTCTCTCCTTGTCTCAGATCACGGAGGGTGTGAAGCCCACACTCTCTGAGCTGGAGAAGTTTGAGGACCAGCCGGAGGGCATTGACCTTGAGGTGGTGACTGAGAGCACAGGTATTTGGTCCCTGTCAGTAACTCAGGCCAAAGAAGAGGGGGTGGCTCTTGGCAGGCAGCTCCCAAGTCAGCCCTGCATCTGTCCCTGTAGGGAAGGAGCGGGAACACAACTTCCAGCCTGGGGACAATGTGGAGGTGTGTGAGGGCGAGCTCATCAACCTGCAGGGCAAGATCCTCAGCGTGGATGGCAACAAGATCACCATCATGCCCAAGCACGAGGACCTCAAGGTGGGTACCGTACTGCCCATACCTGTGGATAATCTAAGGTGGCTGCGTGGTTTTCGTTTGCTTTAAGGGCGTGTACGTCTGTCTGAGGGTTTGTCCAGGCTACCGTGATGTGTCTGGGGTGAGGCGGTCTCCAGCTAGGTCTGAGGAAGAGTGTCTAGTCTGGCATTCTACGTCTTGGGGACAGGCTTTGTGTGTGCGGAGTAAAGGGGTATCCTGACTAATACCTTGAGTCTGAGGTCCGCTGTCTCCAGGGCAGGTGGCCTAAAGAATCTGTGGTTGGGTGGTGTGAGCCTGGGTGGGTTTTGGCAGGAGTCTTTTCTGAGGACGTGAGTGGCTTCTGGAGATGGGGAAGCAGGTGGGTTGTGGTGGCTTCCCTTCCCCTGCTCAGTGTCCCCACACCCAATCCCCAGGACATGTTGGAGTTCCCGGCCCAGGAACTTCGGAAGTACTTTAAGATGGGGGACCACGTGAAGGTGATTGCTGGCCGATTTGAGGGTGACACAGGCCTCATTGTGCGAGTGGAGGAGAACTTTGTTATTCTGTTCTCTGACCTCACCATGCATGAGGTAGGTGGTGGGGGTGAGGGGGGGAGGGGTGGAGCATGCCAGAACAGAGACCCAGGCCGATGAGCCACCAGGACCCTGCTTCACCTGTTTTCCATTTCCCACAGCTGAAGGTGCTCCCCCGGGACCTGCAGCTCTGCTCAGAGACGGCATCGGGTGTGGATGTGGGGGGCCAGCATGAATGGGGGGAGCTGGTGCAGCTAGACCCCCAGACCGTGGGTGTCATTGTGCGGCTGGAGCGGGAGACCTTCCAGGTGTGTGTGTGGCGGGGCTTCCGTGTAGGGGTCTTCCTCTCCCTCGAGCTCCTCATCCTGGGAGGTGGCTAAGAACCCAGACTGCTCTGGGTGGCAGATCTGGCTCTGTGAGCCATGGTTGGCTGTGTGGTGTTGGACAAGTGACCTATTGTTTACCCTCTCTGTGCCTATTTTGTATCCTCTAAAATGGAGATAACGGTAGCATCTACTTTAATAATTGTGATTGAAGCCCTGAGATCAAATATGTAGACCCAGGTGCTTGCTCAGGGGCTGGGTGCTCCGGGTGCCCTCCTCGCCTTCACCCCTACCTGGTGATGGGAGAGTCAGAGCCTAATGCTTAGGACCCTGGACTCTGGAATTATATTTTGGCCTTGTTATTCCATGCTGGGTGACCCTGGGCTAGTGACTTGCCCTCTCTGGGCCTGAGATTCCCTTTGTGTAAAATGGGAATCATGACAGCATTCATCTCAGAGGGAAGTTTTGAGGCTTCAGTGAAATCTTGTGTGAAGAATTTAGCATGGAGCCTGGCACAGAGTGATGGGTAGACATCAGCTATTATGTTAATACCTACTCTACCCATTCCTCAGGTTCCTCAGTCAGGATGGAGTCTCCTCCTGAAGGGTGTTTTGGAATGATTGGGAACGTTTTTGTTTGATCCAGTGCCTACAGGGTGGTGCCCTGAGACTGCGTGGCCCGGGGCTGGGGAGTCTAGACTTCCTGCAGAGCTTGGGACAACCTCCCACAAGGAAGGATCGTTCCACTTTAGGAAAGTCCTGCTCCACGTCACCCCTTTCTACTCTCACCCCTCAGCATCCCTCCCGTCCCTCCATAGGTACTGAACATGTATGGGAAGGTGGTGACTGTCAGGCACCAGGCTGTGACCCGGAAGAAGGACAACCGCTTTGCCGTGGCCCTGGACTCAGAACAGAATAACATCCACGTGAAAGACATCGTGAAGGTCATTGACGGCCCCCACTCAGTGAGTATAAGCTCCTGCCCATCGGCCACGCCTGAAATTGCTGGGGTGCGGCATGGCCACAAGAGTGATCATCCTTTCCTCATCCAGGGCCGGGAGGGCGAAATTCGCCATCTCTTCCGCAGCTTCGCCTTCCTGCATTGCAAGAAACTGGTGGAGAATGGGGGCATGTTTGTCTGCAAGACCCGCCACCTCGTCCTGGCAGGGGGCTCGAAGGTGAGGTGGGTGTGGTGGCGCCCTGGCTCAGCTCCCCAGCCTTCCCTGGCCGCGACAACAGTGGGCTCGTGGAGGATTGGGATGGCAGATGTCCGTGTCGGGTCCTTGGCAGAGTTGATTGGGATTCAGAGCTTTTCACCAAATCATTCATCCACTTGGTTTTATTGTGCACCTGTTGGGTCTCTGACACTGGAGATACGACAGCGAGCAAGGTGCAAATTTCTGTCCTAGAGCTGCTAGAAGACAGACAGATAAATACGTACGTACACAGTACAGTGTGAAGCGACAATAGGCACTATGAAAAAAAGTAAAACAAGACTGGGAGATAGAGAATAATGGGAGCTGCTGATTTAGATGGAGAAGGTTAAGGAAAGGTTTCCTTGAGGTGACACTTGAGCAGAGACCTGAATGAAGGAACGCAGAGCTATGTGACTAGCTCAAGGGAACAGCAGACGCAGAGGTCCTAGGACTTGTAGGAAAGCTGTATAGAACCACGTATCAGAAGGGAAATCGGGCCCAGGATCTGGGTAGCTGGGACCAGGAGGTGATTTCCTTGTGGTCCTGAAGGTAGGGGTCATGAATTCTCCCAGCTATTCAGGGTTATAAAGTCCTGGCCAGGGGAGGACCAGGCCTCCTGATTGACAGGCCCACAGTGGTGTTGGGGTGACGGTTTTCTCAAAGGGAAATGGAGGCATTGTCACCAGAAGGAGAGAGGGATAGCTGCTAGGCCAGTTCAGGCAGGAACTGTTCCCAAATGGAGGCAGGCAGTGGCATGGGGGCCAGGAGCCGGTCCTCCAGGCCCTGCCTGCTGATTGACTTCCTGTCCCTTTCCTAGCCCCGAGATGTGACCAACTTCACAGTGGGTGGCTTTGCCCCTATGAGTCCCCGGATCAGCAGCCCCATGCACCCCAGCGCTGGAGGTGAGGGGAAGTTGGGCGGGGATGTGTCTGGGGGATGGAGGAGGGAGGTTATTCAGCCCATACTTCCTGAGTGCCTGCTCGGCTGGCCTGGCCCTGATGTGGCTCTGAGCCCATGAAGACCAGGACCCTCCCCCGTCACTGCTCCTGGTGGCAGCCCGCAGTGGTCACAGCTGTGCCCGAGCTCTGGTGCAGGCCACCCAGAGGAAGCTTCTAAACCAGTGTGGGTGTGTGGGGGAGTCAAGCAGGTGAAGAAGGGGCTTGAGGTTGCTCTGTCTGTGGACGCAGCATGTGAGGGGAGGGCATGGCCCTGGGGACTGGTGATCTTCTCCTTTCTCCCCAGGTCAGCGTGGTGGCTTTGGCAGCCCCGGTGGTGGCAGCGGCGGCATGAGCAGGGGCCGAGGGCGGAGAGACAACGAACTTATAGGCCAGACTGTGCGCATCTCCCAAGGGCCCTACAAAGGTGAGCTTTGAGGCCATTTGGAGGCCTGGGGAGGGGCATGGTAGAGAACCCTACCCAGCCTGACCTCCTGCCTCCTCACCAGGCTACATCGGTGTGGTGAAGGATGCCACGGAGTCCACGGCCCGTGTAGAGCTGCACTCCACCTGCCAGACCATCTCTGTGGACCGTCAGCGGCTCACTACGGTGTACGGGCTGGGCCGGGGCAGGAGGGGGGTTGTTGGGTGGTGAGAGGGTCCTTCTCACCCATCTAGTTCTCTGTGTCCACAGGGGCTCACGGCGCCCAGGTGGCATGACCTCAACCTATGGGCGGACACCCATGTATGGCTCCCAGACGCCCATGTATGGCTCTGGCTCCCGCACACCCATGTATGGCTCTCAGACACCTCTCCAGGATGGTGAGTGTGCCCAGGGGACAGGGATGAGGGGCGATGTGGGGGAGCTGCAGATAGGACAGAGCTGACGGACAGACACACCTCTCCTACTCTCCCATTTCAGGCAGCCGTACCCCGCATTACGGTTCCCAGACACCCTTGCATGACGGCAGCCGCACTCCTGCTCAGAGTGGTGCTTGGGACCCCAACAACCCTAACACGCCATCACGGTGAGAACTGGGGTGGAGGACAGGGTTCCCTGAGTGCATGTATGGGTGGCTATGCTGGGTGTCTGTGGGATAGTGGGGTCTGTGTGGCCCTTCCTGAATTCTCTGCTCCTAGCCCCAGGCTGGTCACGTGCCAAGGGCAGGTGGGGCTGGGCTGGCAATAAAATGGTCTCTCCAGTCCCCACCATAGTAGTAGGCTGTGGTTAAGACCTGGGCTTGGAGAGGCGCTTGGGTGACTCAAGTTTGGCATCTGATAGTTGATTTCAGTTCAGGTCATGATCTCACAGTTGTGAAATTGAGCCCTGAGTCAGGCTCAGTGGGGAACCTGCTTGGGATTCTCTCTCTTTCCCTCCCTGCTCCCATGTGTGTGTGGTGGGGTGGAAGCGGTGCACTCATGCACGCTCTCTCAAGATAAACTTAAAAAAAAAAAAAAGAAAGAAAAGACCTGGGGTCAGAGACAGATTTTTGTGATCTAGGTCATATGACAAGTGTGTGACCTTGGGCAGGCAGCCTCATCTCTGCCTCCCAGTCTCAACTGTGAAATGGAGGTCTCTGATGGGGCTGTTGTGAGGTGTTCAGTGTAGCTCGGGAAGCATTTGTTACGTTGTTGTGATTACCACAGAGTTGTTCTTAACAGACTTCTCTGTCCAACAGGGCTGAGGAAGAATACGAGTATGCTTTCGACGACGAGCCCACCCCGTCCCCACAGGCCTATGGGGGCACCCCCAACCCCCAGACGCCTGGCTATCCCGATCCCTCATCCCCACAGGTCAACCCACAGTACAACCCACAGACGCCAGGGACGCCAGCCATGTGAGTCCACTGTGGCCAGCCCTGATCAACCCTTGCCCAGACCTTCTCCACTGCCACTACCTTCTCCTCTTCTCCATCATCCCCAGCAAGTGCTCCTTTCTGTCTTTGACTCTGCAGGTACAACACAGACCAGTTCTCCCCCTATGCCGCCCCCTCCCCGCAAGGCTCCTACCAGCCCAGCCCCAGCCCCCAAAGCTACCACCAGGTGGCGCCAAGCCCAGCGGGCTACCAGAACACCCACTCTCCAGCCAGCTACCACCCCACACCCTCCCCCATGGCCTATCAGGTATTGGTGAGCTTGCATGCCCTTAAGGGCGGTGGGCTAGAATGGGCCTTGGGTCTATAGGGACAGCCAAGCTTGATGACGTGTTTCCAACAACACTCTCTTTCACTTACAGGCCAGCCCCAGCCCGAGTCCTGTTGGCTACAGTCCGATGACACCTGGAGCCCCCTCCCCTGGTGGCTATAACCCGCACACACCAGGCTCAGGAATTGAGCAGAACTCTAGCGACTGGGTAACCACTGACATCCAGGTGAAGGTGCGGGACACCTACCTGGATACACAGGTGGTGGGGCAGACAGGAGTCATCCGCAGCGTCACGGTAAGTGGAGCCCAGGCTGGTGGGTGGGCAGGCATCCTCTCCTTTGGGGTCCCCAGTCTCTGTTGTTACTGGTTTTTTTCTTTTTAACCATCTAACCACATTTTCCAGTGCCTGTTTGTACCCGGAAAAGCAGGTACAGAAGGTGTGGCCTGTAGGCTCCACAAGGCGGGGGTTTCTGCCTGTCCTGTGCATGGCTGGGGCCCCTGGCCTGGAGCAGTGACTGGTACCCAGGAACTGGTTACATTTTAATATACTCCTCTGAGATCAGTTCAGTGACATGGACTGAGCGCTCCTCTGTGCCAGGCTTCAGCTTAGTGCCGGGCACCACTACCCTTAGTGCTCCCCCTGCTCCAGCATTACCAGCCTCTCTGTTCTTCACGGTCACCAAGTTCCCTCCAGCCTCTGGACCTTTGCTCATCGCTTTCCTTTTTCTAGGATTCTCTTCCTTCCATCCTTTGTCTAGTAAACTGCTATTCATCCTTCAGGGAAACACCTAAGCTGTCTCAGATCTGTCTCTTGTAAGCCCATGTAACTTTTTCTCATGTTACCTACCTGGTGCCTAAAAGCTTAAAGTTTATTCTGGTGTGATCCTTTGATTACTAAGCCTGTATTTCCTTCCTAAGTAGCCCTAGTCCCTAGATGAGGGACCAGCACCTTGTTGGCCTTCTAGTAAACATTACTTGAAAATACCAGAGACCAAAACAGCTCCAGGTCCTGCCTTCACAGATCTCACATTCTAGTGAGGGAGGCAGACATGTCCCCAGACAGGAACAGCCTGAGTGGCCAGAGCTGGGGTACAGGAAGTCCCAAGGGCAAGAGGAGCTCTGGGAACCTAGAGGAGGCATCTTACTCAACTTTGGAGGAGGGTTCAGGGGGGTGCTTCCTGGAGAAGGAGGTATCTGCACCAAATTCTGAAGAATGAATAGGAGTAAGCCAAGAGAAATGGTTGGGGAAAGGGTTAAGTGTGTTCCAGAAAGAGGGGACTTGCAAAGGCCTGGGGGTGAGGAAAAGGCTGGCACATCTGGGGAGATGAAGTATGTTCATTGTGGATGGAACACAAAGAGCCAGGGGGGAAGGTGAGTGACAAGGCAAGAGAAGTGGCTGGGCCAGGTCACATGGCCACCTAGGGAGCTTGGACTGTGTCCTAAGGAATCTGAGCAGGCAGGGCGGTGGTGGCATCAGGTCTGTGGTTTGGGATTAATTCACTACGTTGCTCTAGCAGGGATGGATTAAGGTGGGGAGACTGGGGGCTGGGAGCCTAGGGGAGGTCAGGCTTCACTATAAGGCTGTAGGGAAGAGAGGAGAGGGGGAGGTGGCAGAGACTCTCGGGAGGGCAGTGAACACACCTCAGAGCTGGAGATTTTCAGTGAAAGAGCTGGCCAACCTGAGGTCAGAGCTCTGGCCGGGGCCTGGGGGCTGTGGGGCCATCCCTCCGATCTGGGCAGGCCTAGGAGGAGGGGCAAGTGTGAGAAAGATGATGAGGCCCACTTGGGACATGAAGGGTCAGGTGTCTGAGCAGCGGTCTCTCTTTTGGCCTAAGTTGGCTTCATTCTAATGTTTCCCATGCTGATCTGGTCACCCTGCCCCCACACACCACAGGCCCAGGAACTAGGCCCAGCTTTTGGCCTTTCCTGCCCGTGTGTCACCTTGGGAAGGTGATTTTTTAGAATGAGCCCTGAGCCTATGGTCCTTGAGTGCGGGCATCAGTCCTGTATTGGAAACAGGCAGGCTGACCAGGCTGTCCCTACCCACAGGGCGGCATGTGCTCTGTGTACCTGAAGGACAGTGAGAAGGTTGTCAGCATCTCCAGTGAGCACCTGGAGCCCATCACCCCCACCAAGAACAACAAGGTAAGGGGGGCCAAGGGGACGTGGGAGCCTTGGGCTGCTGACACAGACACTGACCTTGTGCCCCTCCTCCCAGGTGAAGGTGATCCTGGGTGAGGATCGGGAAGCCACAGGCGTCCTGTTGAGTATCGATGGTGAGGATGGCATCGTCCGCATGGATCTTGATGAGCAGCTCAAGATCCTCAACCTCCGCTTCCTGGGGAAGCTCCTGGAGGCCTAAGGAACGCAGGGCGGGTGGACTTTGGCAGATATCTGGCAGATGGAGAGTGTCCTCTTTCCTTCTCTGGCCCTTGGCTCTGACAGGTCTGGGCCAGGTTTGGGGCCTGGACCAGGGCTAATCTGATTGTTCAGGATTTCCTTTATTTTCCTTTCTGGGTTCCTATTTCCCTCCCTGATGTTCATGGGAATCAGAGTAGAGTCTGGGGGAGGGTCCCCACCTTCTTGTACCCTCCCTTCCCCAGCTTGCTTTTGTGTTAAGGTCTTTCAATAAAAAGCTGTTTGGTCAAAAGTGTGTGTCTGTGTTTTCTAAGCTGGGGTCATTTGCAGACCCCACCTACTTCCTGGGCAAATAACTGGATGATACCTAAGCCTCCAATTCCCCATCTGGAAAATGATGCTGTCTATTCCAGATGGAGGGTTCTCGGGATGAATGTATGAGAAGACACGAGATTATCAGAACAGAGCCTGCCACGTGATTAGTCACGTTGTACTGTTGCTCGAGTTATGTTAAGTGAAAATCTGTAAACCGCCTGGAAAACCTAAATTCCTCCTGTGGTGCGGGATACAGCTGTCGATGGTCCTTTCTCTTGAGCCCACAGAGCAATGACCCCAGAATTGCTGTGGCTTGTCTGGTGGCTTGGGGGTAGAGAGGGGGAGAGAGAAGGGGGCTTGGTACCTTGACTTTCCTTCACCTTCTTCATTTGATACGTCTTTTTTGTAATAAATGTGTTATGAAATGTATTCTAAAATGTTACCCATGTTCAAAAAGGTCTTAGGACACCCTGAACGCCCATGTCCCCAGCACCCAGCTTCGGGAACAGTATGTACCAGATAGGACCCACTTTAAGCAGCAGCCCCAGACCATTCCCCTCCAAAGGTGACCATAATCCTGGATTCCAAATCTTTTTGCCTTTGTACTTTTACTACCTTAGTATTTATCCCTAAACGTTACAAGGTCATTCTCCACATTTTGAAAGCTTACATAAGCTTACATAGACTTTTCCCCCTCGTTTTAAAGAGATTTTTAAAAATTTTATTTTTGAGAAAGCACTAGGGAGGGAGGAAGAAAGCGGGGGGGGGGGGGGGGGGGGGGGGGGGGCGGACAGAGGATACGAAGCAGGCTCTGTGCTGACCAGTGAGCCTGAGGTAGGGCTTGAACCCCGAGATTCTGACCTGAGCTGAAGTGGGGCGTTCAACTGACTGGGCCACCCAGACACCCCATGGACTCTTTTACTTCACCCGTAGCCCCTTATTCATTGATTTCTGTCCCAATAAGCCTGGCCCCAGAGAGCCGGCCGCCATTCCTTTGGCTGAGCCCTCGGTGAAATGGCTGGCGTTCCAGGCGCTTCCTTAGAAGGTCACCAGAGGAGGAGCAAGAAAGGACTCTGAGGACGGGAGAGAAGGCAGATTCGGCCTCCGGGCTCCACGTGAGGGGAGGGAGAGTCTGGGAGGGCTGGCGGGCAGCCCGCTTTCTGGGCGGACCCCCTCAGGGCGAGACCGTCTGGCTCGCGGCCACAAGGTTCCTCCACGGTGGCCTCAGCTTTACCCCCCGGGCACTGGGTACCCCGCTCCGTGCTGCTGCAGAGGCGGGGGAGCGCCCCAAGGCCCGAGGGAGACTCAGGGAGGACCGCGGACCGCCTCCCGGTTGGCGTGCCCTGCGGGCCCCAGGCTAGCACGCCCGCGGCTCCCCGTCCGCAGGCCTTTGTCTCTCTCGGGCTCCCGTCCGCCCGTCCGTCCCCCGCGCCCCCATTGGCCGCGGCCCCAGCCGGGGACGGGAGAGGAGGGAGCGAGTGGGCGGGGCCGCGTGGCGTCAGCGCAAGATGGCGGCCTCGGCGGCGCTGTTCCTGCGCTTGTGGAGCGAGCTGCGGCTCGGCGCGCGGGGGCTGTGCGCGAGGCTAGCGACGCCGCCCCCTCGGACCCCGGACCAGGTGAGCCGGACGGAGGTGGGCACCGAGTCCGGGAGCCCTTTCGTGGAGTTCTGGGCGGACCGCCGCCGCACGGGGGTTCCGGGACGCAGCACCTCAGGGTGCTGAATGGAACGCCGCCCGCGTTTTGGGGAGTTTCCTGCCTCCCGGGGTGGGCAACGCTTGCGCCCCCGAGCTAGATGCTGTGGGCTCAAGTGCGTCCTCAGAACACCACCTCCTCTGGACCCCACGTGGGCGCCAGGGGAGGGGAGGTCACCTGTTCCCTGTTTCAGTGGCCGCCCAGGTAATACTTGAGGGGGAGGAGCCCGGGATGCTGGGGTGCCACTGCGGCCTTGGGGGTATTTTCCCCGCGCTGGTGGTGATGTTTGCGCTTTTGATTCAACCTGCCTCTACACTGACAGAGATCCAGCCGTTCTGACCTCCAGGCTGATCACTTCGTGCCCTTACAACTCCGATGGCCCCTCTGCCCTCGCTTTCATCCCTTCCCTTCTGTACCCTACTGCTGTGAGCCCCGGGCATCCAAATGCCATGCCTACCCGTCCTATCCCTTTTTGTGCCCTCTGTTGCCTTGCTCCTGGAAGCCCAGTGTCTTGCCAGTCTCCCTGATCTCGTTTCCCTGCCCTACAGGATCCTGGACACCCGGCCTATCAACTCTTGAACCCCTGGGGCCTGGTCCGGGGCAGTCTAGTTTTTGACTATTCTAAGAGATCCAGTCTCCTGGTTGCGCCTCCAGAGACACCACACCCCGAGGCTGTGTGGTTGTCTGCTTCCTGGCTTCCGACCTTGATTCTTCTCCAACCAGGGTGCCCCAATCATCCTGACCTTTCTTCTCTTTCAGCTAACCTACCTCTTTCTCAATTGCAGGCCACAGAGATTGGGAGCCGCACGGGCACTAAGGCCCAGGCTCAGGGTCCACAGCAGCAGCGAGGCACAGAGGGTCCCAGCTACGCCAAAAAAGTCGCACTCTGGCTTGCTGGGCTGCTCGGGGCCGGTGGGACTGTGAGCGTCATCTATATCTTCGGTGAGGGGCATATGCCTGTTCCCTAATTTTGTTCCCTTGGCCCTCTTTTCTGTAGAACCTCTTTCCCCTGAGGGTTTCACCCACCTTCATCCCCTGGCTCCTCCCTGCATAAGGCAGCCAACTAGAACATCATCTACCTTGGAAATGGGAGAAGTGACCTTTCTTCTCCTTCTACCCACTCTGCTGAAGGTTCTAGTCTTAGTTCTGCACTAGGATATAGAGAGTCAGTTGGAAGAGGGCAAGATGAGGAGAGGACTGGGCCAGCCTCCTAAGCAACCTGTTCCTTTAGCACCCAAAACTCCAGCCCTCCCTCTAGTCCCTTCTTCCTTCAGAGACTTAGGAGGCCCTGCCCCAGTCCCTCTTCTCTCAGGAAACCAGAATCCTGACTACCAGTCCCCTTTCTCTCTTGATCTTAAGAGACCATGCCTCTTTCTTCTTTCCTCAGACCTAGGAGTCTAGGCCCCCTGCCCTCTTCCTCCCTCAAGACCCAGGAGACTGAGCCCTAATTTCACTCATTCCTCCCTGTCTTCCTTGCAGGAAACAATTCTGTGGATGAAACTGGCGCCAAGGTGAGAGGGAGAGAGACCCAGAGGCTTTGCCAGGGGTCCCATCCTGTGTGTCCTCTCCCCTTTGGTCTGTTCGGGCTCATTTCTTGTCTAGGGGTGAGCCTCTCCCTCCCAGGGACCTTTGCCTACTCCCAAGGTCCCGGAAATTCCTTTTTTGGGTTTGATGGGGTTCTGCCCCTGCCATCCCAAATGCTACATTTTTGTCTCTACCTTCCAGATTCCCGATGAATTCGACAATGGTGAGTAAAAGCACAGATTCTGAGGTCCCCTGAACCTTTCTACTCTGCCATTTATAGGGATGTTGCCCTTCCCATCTGGTGCCCTCCTGCTCCACCTCCTTCCATTGGGGGGTAGGGGAGTCAGCAGCTGGATGGCTTTGGGGGGAGGGGCATTACAAAGCCCCAGTCCTCTTGGCTGGCCCAGGAGCAGATGGTCAGGGAACAGATGGGGGAGGGGAGTCCATGGTGGGAATGCTTGGGAAGAGGGGCCTGTCTGCCACCAAACACATGGCTTCCTGTGCCTTAGATCTGAGTGTCTGCACCCTTAATCCCCTCCTCATTATGACAGCCTCTTGTTCCTCCCAGTCCCCCACCCCATCAGGCTCCTCATTTCCAAAACAATGTCTCTTTCCTCCCTCCCTCTTTTAGTTAACCAGCTTTTGGTGGAGAGTTTCTAACAAATTGGATAGTAGAGAGTAGTTGTCAGTTCTGTCACACTTGGCCCTTCCCCGGAGAAAAATAGAATTGGTAGGTCCAGAAAGCCACCTGTTTGTGCTGGGGAAGTTTGCAAACCCACGTGTTAACACATTGATTATTTAAACTGGGCAGGTGGGTAAGCATGAAGTTTTAAGTGGGTAGTCTTCCTGGATTAAACAGATTAGCGTACTGATTTAAATTGAGCAGGTGAACATGCATTGTGTGTGTTTATTAACATAACTGGTTTCAGTATTTTTGTTTTTTTGTGTTTTTTTTTAATGTTAGAGAGAGAGCGTGCACACACGTGTGCACAAGCGGGGGAGGGGCAGAGAGAGTAGGGGGACAGAGGATCCGAAGCAGGCTCTGGGCTGACAACAATGAGCCTGATGCAGGGCTCATACCCAGAATCCCTGAGATCATGACCTGAGCCGAAATTGGATGCTCAACTGACTAAGCCACCCAGGCACCCCGGTATTTTGGTTTTGAAAAGGCAGGTCCATAGATAGTGGTTTAATTAGAGTAAAAATGCTGTAATAAAGCAGGCAGTCATGTAAGTTCCTTGCTTTAAACCGGATTCAGTATATTCGTTTGAACCAGGGTTTTTCGGGGCACCTGGCTGGCTCAGTCAGAAGAGCATGCAGCTCTTGATCTCGGTGTCGTGAGTTCAAGCCCCGTGTTGGGTGCAGAGATTACTTAAATAAACAAAAGTTTGAAAAAATAATAATAAAAAAAAATAACAGGATTTTTTAAATTGGTACTTTGGAGCAGGTAGTTCTTTGTTGTGGGGGAGTCCCCTGTGCATTGAAGGATGTTTAGCATCATGCTGGGCCTCTGTCCACTGGATGTCAGTATGTTGACAAGCACATAGGTCTTCAGACATTGCCAGAGTTTCCTGGAAAGTGGCAGATGAGATGGCTCCAAGTTGAAAACCATTAGTTAATATGTATAGCTGTATGTATATACTTAGCGTAGTTTAGATAGGCTCAGCATACTCATTAAAAGCAGGCATACCTGGAAACCTAGTGGTTTAAAATGAGCTAAACACATGACGGCGTAACGTCAGCACAGTTGTATGTGGGGTTTTTTTTTTCCTAAAAGTAATTTTTTTTTTTAAGTTTATTTATTTTGAGAGAGAGAGAGAGTGAGCAGGGGAGGGACAGAGAGAGAGCAAGAGAGAATCCCAAGCACTATCGGCATGGAGCCCGATGCAGGGCTCAGACTCATGAACCGTGAGATCGTGACCTGAGTTGAAACCAAGAGTTGGATGCTTTACAGACTGAGCCACCCAGGTGCCCCATTTGTGAGTTTTAAGTGGGCAGATGTATAAACATTCTGTTCTATATTTGGGGTGGTGTGTGGGGATAAGTATTCACGTTCAAACTGGGCAGGTGAATAAATGTATTTGTTCCTGCCTGGCGGTCACGTCATTGCGTTCTACCTTCAGACTTAGAAATGAACTCATTCATACCAGGTGGGTATGTAGACCTGTTTGTGTCTGGTAGGGAAATAAAGCTCTGGTGTGTCCAGGAGGTTGAGCAGTGGCTCATCTTGGAATCCCTTTGTGCCCCGGTGTCCTCCTAGATCCAATTCTGATACAGCAGTTGCGCCGGACTTACAAATATTTCAAAGACTATAGACAGGTGAGCAGGAGTCCTGAGCCCGGTCCCCATCCCTCCGGCACCGGCTCCTGCCTCCTTGTCTGAGTGTTCCCATTCTGTCCTTCTTCCACAGATGATCATTGAGCCCACCAGTCCCTGTCTCCTCCCTGACCCTCTGAAGGAGCCATATTACCAGCCACCCTACACACTGGTCTTGGAGCTAACTGGCGTCCTCCTGCACCCTGAGTGGTCGGTGTGTCCCGGGGAAGGCAGCGGGCTGGGGACACTAGATAGACATGGGTGGCTGCGTTGTGATGACGTGGTCGGGAGCAGAGACTCCGCAACCAGCTCCACTGTCACCAGGGAAGAAGGTGTCACTCTCATTGCCTCGCTTTTCTCAACTGCGAGACTCCCCACCCTGTAGGTTGTTGTAAGTGTGCCTCGGCACCCAGTGTGTGCTACGGAGGAGTCTGCTGTTACTCTGGGACCCAGACCCTCGGTCACAGCTATGTACTCCTGAGCCCCCAAGAACTACAGAGATGGGGGAGAGCCCTCCAGTTCTGGGAATCCCCCCAGGCTGGGGGGAGCTTTATCCTGTTGGGGGCTTCTGGGTCTTGGGGTTTCACTGTCCTCACTGCTTTCACTGTCCTCACTGCCTCCCCAGCTGGCCACTGGCTGGAGGTTTAAGAAGCGTCCGGGCATCGAGACCTTATTCCAGCAGCTCGCCCCTTTGTATGAAATCGTCATCTTTACGTCAGAGACTGGCATGGTAAGGCCTCAGGACAGGGGAGGGATGGTCAGTGAGGTGGGAGATGGGGAGGGTCAGGGCTCAGCCTGACCTTGTTCTCCCTCCCATCCCACCCCTAGACTGCATTCCCACTCATCGACAGCGTGGACCCTCATGGCTTCATCTCCTACCGCCTGTTCCGGGATGCCACAAGATACATGGATGGGCACCATGTCAAGGTGCCATGTGGGGGCTGTGGGCAGTCTTCTGGGACTTGGTAGGGGGCTGGCACTTCCTGAGGGAGAGAGCTCTGACCCCAGCCTCAATCCTGCTTCTGCCCCAGGTCTGGTTCTGACAGGACTTCAGCTTTCCCCCAGCACAGGCTGGGCCTCTAGGCTCTTCTCCCTTCCCTCTGAATCTGGGAATGGGAGTGGGGGTAGATAGGACCTCTCCAAACAAGACGGTTGGGGGTAGTGCATGGATATAAGGTTTGGAAGCCGTCTCTTGTCTCTGCATTCAGAAGTGAGTGTTTTGGGGACTGTGTAATTGTAACCATTATATTATATGAGACTCAGCCTCGTTTGCATTTCCAGGACATTTCGTGTTTGAATCGGGACCCTGCCCGCGTAGTAGTCGTGGACTGCAAGAAGGAAGCCTTCCGCCTGCAGCCCTACAATGGCGTTGCTCTGCGGCCCTGGGATGGCAACTCTGATGACCGGGTCTTATTGGACCTGTCTGCCTTCCTCAAGAGTGAGGCTGACCCCTGACCTCCTGGCCTCTGACCCTGGAGCCCATGACTCTCAAGAGGACTGATAGATGCTTAATTCTGGCTTCTATTTATTTTTCCATGTAAAATTGGATATATTTGAGGTGTGGAGGTTCACAAGCATCTTGCAGTCTTTAGAAGCTTCTGAGAAGGTTTAGAGTTGCTCTGGGGTATTTAGGGGATGTTCAAGGGAGCCCTTTTAGAGTGTTGAGAGATGTTCCAGGTAGCTCTGATCTTTATCCTTCCCTGCGGCCTTTCTGCCTGGCTGACCCCTGCCTTCTGTGCCCACAGCCATTGCACTGAACCGTGTAGAAGATGTCCGGACTGTGCTAGAGCATTACGCCCTGGAGGATGACCCACTGGAGGCTTTCAAACAGCGGCAGAGCCGGCTAGAGCAGGTGGGTGCTCAGATCTGCAGTTGCGGGTCGGGGAGGGGGGCATCACGTCAGTTCCCGAAGCTCCCAGGGGAGGAGCGGTGGAGCAGCCTGTCTCTGTCTGGCTGTAAGACCTTGAGTGTGGACCTTGTCTTCCACACAGCCTGTCTGGGAGGGCTCTTGTCATGGGGGAGGGGCTGGTAGATTCCACAGCCTGCTTGAGAACAGGAGGCAGGAAACGCTAAGCGTGGTTCTTGGAGAAGGGTAGTTTGTGATAGCTTTGAGCAGATCTGAGGGCCCAGGTTTGGTGTGGACAGAGGGTTTGAGTCAAGCCTGGGGAGAGGGATCCCCGGACACTTGGCGGAAGGGATGGGGCAAGGCGTTCTGGTGGTCTTGATGTGATCCTGGTAGTTTGGAAGTGAGGCTAAGAATACGGATGGAGTTTGGGAAAGAGATTCTCAGGGGTCTAGATGGAAGTTGACCAGATTTCGGGTTGGGTGCCTGGGAGTAGGGCTGGAGCTCCTGAGTGTCCAAAGGACAAGGCCCTAGAGATTTAGGCCTGGGATCCTTCAGCATCCAGGCAGGGCTCATACAGCTGAGGGCTGGGCACTGGGGGCCTGGGGAGCAGGACGGTGCAGTCTGGTGAAGGGCCTAGGGTCTCGGCAGCATCCAGGTTAGGATAAATAGGATCTGGGATAGGTTCGCAGGGTTCAAGGGAGGGGCTTCCTGGGACCTGGGGAAGGGGATCATGACAATCCCTGCGATTTGAGTCTGGGCTGGGTGTTCTAGGGGGTTGGGGAAGGGGTTTGGGCTGGGTAGAGATTTAAGGAAGGTGGCCTCTCGGCTGGCGGAGCCTGGGACGAGACTGCGGGCCCCAGGCTGACCTTGCTCTCTGTCCCTCACCCCAGGAGGAACAGCAGCGCCTGGCCGAGCTCTCCAAGTCCAGCAAGCAGAACCTTTTCTTTGGCTCTCTGACCAACCGCTTATGGCCTCGCTCCAAACAGCCCTGACTTCTGAGCCTCTGCAGACTCACTGCCTAGGTCCTGGGCCCTTGGCCCCAGTGCTCCCAGACCATGGCTCGGGCAGCCACATCCAATAAAGTCCATCCCAGATGCCACAGTCCTGTGTCCGGAGAGTCTTCAGATGGGGGCATCAGGGTGAGGTCCGGGACTCTTGGGTCATCGTCCCATGGGGGCTGATCAGCTGCAGAGCACGGAGTAGGTTCTCTGGTGGATCAGGACTAGTTTTGAATCCTGGCCTGGGAATCTGAAAACTTGGGTCCCTCTGGCCATGTCTTCGTATGTGCTGTGTGACCCACAAAAAGAGCATCTGCCTCTTTGACCTCAGATTCCTCATCTGTGGAAAAGGGAAGAGAGGGCGGCACTGGGGCTTTTAGAGACAGGTCGATGCCAGGCTGCTGTGTGTATGTGCCGAGGGTGGGCTCAGTGGGCTCTGGGAGCCCGGAGACCCTCCTGTCTCAGGAGGGCAGCTGCTGTTCCCTCTGCCAGCTGTGGCCCTCGGGGAAGGTGGGCCTGGAGTTGCTTGAACTGCTTTCTCAATAGAAGCCAGAAGTTGGGTGCCTGGGTGGTTCAGTCAGTTAAGGATCTGACTCTTGTCTTGACGTCAGCTCAAGTCATGATCTTAGGGTGATGAGATCAAGCCCTACGTCGGGTTCTGCCAGGGCATGAAACCTGCTTAAGATTCTCTCCCTCTGCCTCTCTTCTGCTCGCACACTTGCACTCTCTCTCCAAAAAAAAAAAAAAAAAAAAAAAAAAAAAAAAAAAAAAAAAAAAGCCAGAAATTGGTTTTTGTTTTTTTTTTTTAATGTTTGTTTGAGAGAGCGAGCACAGTGTGAGCACACACGAACAGGGGAGGGGTAGAGAGAGAGAAGCCCAAGCAGGCTCCCACACTGTCTGTGTGGAGCCCCGCATGGGGCTCAAACTCATGAACCGTGAGATCATGACCTGAGCCGAAATCAGGAGTCCAATGCTTAACGGACTGAACCACCCAGGTGCCTCCAAATCTCCCAGTTCTTAAATGTGGGCCCCTAACTAGGATAGGGAGACTATGTAGCGCTTCTCTGCAGTGGGGCTTTCTGTGATGTTTATTCCGTGTTCCGGATCTGCACTGGCCAGCACAGCAGCCAGTGGCCATATGGCGCTACGGATTCCCTGAATTGTGATGACAGTAACTGAGGAATGGAGTTTCTCCTTGTTTCATTTTAATTTTAATTCAAGCAGCCACATGTGGCTCCTGGCTCCTGCAGCGGACAGTGCAGTTGTGTATCATCCCACAGTGTTAAGTCCCAGACTGTCCCAAGTTCACATCCCAGCTTTACCACTTCCTGCTTTGTGTGGTCTCAGGCAAGTTACTTCACCTCGCATGCCTCCGTTTCTCCATCTGTAGAGATAATGGTACCTACCTCGTTGTCGGCTGGGCTTGAGGGCTGAGCGAGACGCTCCCTGGAGGCGCTCAGATGGTAGCTGTGTCCCTTGGGCAGGGCATCTTTGTGCCTCCACTTTCTCGTCTCTCGGATGGGGGTGATGGTAGGAGCTGTCTTAGAGCAGTTGTGAGGCGTAAACAGGACAGGCCGTGCTCAGGCTGCATCTATATTCCTGTGGTGCTTCTTACCAGGTGCCCATACTGACTCTTCACAGATGAGAGTATCCTGGGCCGATTTGATGGCGCCCAGCCCCGGCTGTCCCAGCCTTTCCTCCAGCCAGCATTTAGTGCTAGTACCGGTTCAATATTTTCAAAAGACGTCTGCTGGTGTTACAGTAATTAAAATGTAACTGTGTGGGCCAGATTGAACCCCTGAACTATAGGGTTTTTTTTAAAGGCTCACAGATGTCTACGAAGAAGTATTAAAATTTGCATGACCCCCCCCCCACCAGCCCCAAGGTGTAGTATCTGTAACCCCAGCAAAGTCTCAGGGGTCTTGGTTTACTCATTCATAGGAGGTTAATAGTAGTACTTCCCTCATTCACTCACTTACTCAGCAAGTGTTTCCTAAGTGCTGACTGCCCAGCCTTGTTCTAGACACTAGGGTGCATCAGTGAGCAAATTAGACCTAGAGCTCTCCTGTTCTCACAGACATGTTCTTATGGAGGAGATAATGGTCAGATATTTCTCAATAAATGCATAAAGAAAAATAAGGGGAGTGGGTATGCTAAGGAGATAGAGCGGTTGGGAGACTTGAGGTGCTGTTTTATTTTTATTTTTTTTAATGTTTATCTGTTTTTGAGAGAGCGTGTGCGAGTGCATGAGCAGAGGAGAGAGAGAATCCCAAGCAGGCTCCACACTGTCCGCTCAGAGCCCAGGGTGGCGCTCAAACCCACAAACTGTGAGATCATGACCTGAGCTGAAGTTGGGTACTTAACCAATTGAGAGACCCAGGCGCCCCTGAGGTGCTGTTTTGGATTGAATGGGACAGTCAAGGAAGGCCTCCTGGGAAAGTATATTTGACAGACCATAATGAAATGAGAAAAGCCATGGGGATATCTGGGTGTGTCAGGTGTAGTCACCTCAGGACCTTTGCACTTGGTGTATCCTCTGCCAGGAATATTTGCCTAGGATCCTTATCACTTATCACTTCCCTCTCTTCCCCCCACTTTTCCCTCTCTTCCCCCCACTTATCCCCCCCCCCACCTTATGTCTTTGCTTGGATGTCACCTCAGCATGACCTGTGGGCCCTAAGGTTGGCAAATAAGGAAAAGTTCTGAATAGCCAAAGAGACTCATGGAAATCTCTTAAAGTATACTTTACACACAGACATGACAGAATTCACCTGAAACACTATCCTGTCTGACACAAGCCTTCAATAAAGTCTGGTTATTTTTATGATCTTCAAAATGAGATATCTCAGACCTGGAATCTGTTATCTTCCCAAGTTATTATCCAGGATAGGAATCTGCCTTCTCCCACAGCAGTTTTTAAGGACTGTCCAAATTCCATTTGAATGTCTCCTGTGATGGGAAGCTCACTCCTCCACCTACCCCAGTAATGGGTCTAATTTGCCTCCTGGTAATCAGTCCATGAGGTCTGGCTCTGTGTTTAGGGCTACAGAGCCAGTCTGAGTAGGGGGAGGGTATGTGGAAGGAGGGCCTCACGTGTCAACCTTAGAGTCTCTGTATTTTGAAGACACAGGAGAGCCATGCAAGAGCCTGCAGGAGAGGGACACGGGTCAGATTTGTGCTTAGACCCCCTGAGCCAGAGTGGTCACAGCTGGGAGAGAGTAATCGGGGCTCTGGGGCTCAGAGGAGGTGCCTGGCCACCTTGGTGGATGTGAGGGAAGGCCTGCAGGAGGGGAAATCTGGTGAAGACAATGAAATAGAGGAGGGAGTGGAAAAGACAACTAGAGGGAAGACCTGTACAAAGGAATCTGGGTAGTGTGCACAGTGACCACGGCTCCCCTTGCTCACAATCCTTCCAAGACCCCAGGCCTCAGGAAAAAAAAAAAAAAAA